TGTAAATTAAAGTCGCCACTGTGTCAGAGAAGAGACAATTTGTCTAATTTTGGGGAGTGTTGGTTTTTGAGTAGTTTTATTGGAGGGAATTGCTCAAATAATTTGGTTCCTGCAAACAATGTTTTTCATTATCAATTAAGAAGTTGATTGTTCTTTGATTAATGTTTTCTTGTTAATAAAATGTCTTGTTACATTGAACAGTCTTTTCAAAATAAACTTCAACGTTCACAGGAAACAATTTTAGGTAAAGGCAAAATCTACTTGGTCAGATTCAGGTAAAGATTGTGGTTTTGGGTTAAAATAAGTGTGTTTATTACTTAAGTACATTATGTGCGTGATGTAAATTAAGTTTGTTTACGTAACTTCAAACAACTTGGTCTTTTGGTTTCACACAGTGGTCTCCTGGGTGAAAGTCCCGGGTCTTTTGACCCATCAACCCACCATGACATCCTCTCTACACTGACTCTTTATACTATGTCACCTGACTTCCACTTTCTTTTGCTAGCTAAAAATTAGATTTTATTACTGTATTTAAGAAAACAGGTACATTAATATAATAATAATAATAACAATTCTAAATAACGTATCATCGGTCCATAAACAATTTATCAAACACATACTTAGTTTTAATTTCCTTACACGCATTCCAGTACAACAGCAGCACAAACTAAGGCCTAAAATGTTTCCTTAAAGTTGAACCAATTCCTTTCTGACACAAACAACAATTAAAATGCAGACGTCACGAAACGCTCAAAGACGACAGAGCTATTGGATTGCATTACACTGTACACCGTTTATCTCTTTTCCTGGTCAGTCTGCGTAATGAGATAATGAAAATCCCTTCAAGTGAGGACAGTTTGTTGGTCGTCACTCCTTTAAGAGGCTACTTTGGGATTAAGGCTCTGATTTAGGTCAAGAGTTAAGACCAAGCTGAAGATTTACAACGTGAACGGAGTTAATCGCTGCAAATGCTCTCACACGAACACCGATACAAACGTGTGTGTCTGCTGGTGCGCACAGTGTAGACGTCTGCTCTGTGGCTATAAATCCTATAAATCATGCTTCTTATGGACTGAACGGTGCTGTGGGCCCAGAGCCTTCGGACTGAGCTAATGGGGCAGCAGCTAATGGGACCCCAGAGGTGACCACATGGTGAGTTTGTGCTTTCAAAGGATGTCTTAAAAGGAGGCACTCCAGCCTAAACGCCCACATTTTACAAACTCCACGTCCCAAGTTTGACTTTTTAGTCAAAAGTATCAAGCCTAAACCAAAGTAATCCTGATCTCAGACTTTAAGAAGCTTCTTTCGGAGCCACAGAGGATTATATTATATTAAAGTCGTAAGACTTAGGACTCCAGAGCTCATGTGTACAATTGGTGTATTTAACCTTTAAGATTATCGAACTCCTACTAAGACCAGACACCCCCCAACGTATTTTCCCAATGGACACATACATGAATCCTTCGTCTAGAGACAAAATGTTGACTTTATTTTATTGTATAAATGTAAATAATCAGCTTTAATACGTTATATTGTGGATTTTACAAGAATTCATTTGAATTTTTCTGTTGAAACGTTTTTTTTAAACATTCGTGCTGCTGGTGGTTGATAGTTTTACTTTCTTATTTTGCCTTAACGGGACAAAACGACTCATAGAACGCAAAAAGAAGACAAAGAGAGAAATGGAGATGTGAGAAAAAAGTCCTTTCCTGGATGAACATTCTCTGGCTGTGTTTAAGGGAATGTGGATCTTTCAGATCAATTTGAGGAACGTCTACGGTTTGCATGTTCCCCTTGTTATCGTGAGTGTGGCATGCAGTGTGGGACTCGCCCTGGTCTGGACTTGGTCTCAACTCCTCAATGTCTTGGTTTCAATACAGTCTGGCCTTGGTCAAATGTGTGCCTGTTCCTGTACTCAAACAGTTTGTCTTGCTAATTTATGATGTTTCTGTTTGCACAGAAATGGTAAAGAAATCTGAGGAACAGTTCAGTATTTAAATGAGATGCGGATGCAGAAACATTAGCAACAAGGACGGTGAACTCTGCAAAGAGATATGGAGACAGAACGTCAGAGTATCGGTGCGTTCGTGCATACATGTACAATAGGTGCAGTATGTTTCCCCGCTTCACTTAAAATGCAGTCAAAGTACAAAGAGTGCAGCTGCAAAGAGGTAAAGTTCATGTAGTTAAAAACACACAACTAAAGGTGAGTCATATGAGTCAGCCCTGTTCCTTCCTTCTCAAACCGTAGTTTCTCTTTCGCGCTATCTCTCCTCCGATCTTTACTTCAGTGTGGCCCTGTGATCTCCATGGAAACAAGGTTTAGGTCAGTCAGCAGAGATGTAGAAACAAAGTGAACTGAAGGAGACGGACGTGGGATGAATCGAGAAAACCTTGGCGAGAGCACAGAGCGGGTTATTTTCTAACGTTTGAGGACATCAAATGCAAACTCAACCAGCAGCTGCACGTAACTCATCCTGGAGATTAGCTAAATATTATAGAAACGTATACGGCTTTTTGATGAAAAGCATTTCCATCCGTCAAATAAAACTAAAAGAAGCTGAAACTTTATTTGGTCCTCATTTCTTTCAGGGTTTCACCAGCCGCTTAGCATCGACTTCCACACATTTGGGGAACTCATATGAAGCAGGGTTTTTTAAAAAGCTCCAAAAACACTGTGTCTTATAATTCTCAAAATGCAAAAATCTTTTTGTCCCATTCTACCGGTCGGGTAAATGTCCTTCACATTCTACATGCCCATGTAACGCTGTTTGTGAAGCAGCAGCTGGACCATGAATGTGCTAAATTGTGGCCAAATTGTTAGAGGTAAGTGAGCAGTAGTGAAGTGAAAACTACGCTACTCTTACAACATGCATCGAAGTGTGTCAACACCCTACGACTATAGGATTGAAACACAGGCACCAAAAATTGTGATATTTTACAGCTCGACCTAAATTTCTCAGCTGAGGCTTTCCGTTTTGAGATTTGTGGGTAGAGTTACATCTAGGTTGCACAGCAACAACAACCGCGCATGTATCGAGAAAGTGATATATTGAGTCCTAAAACCCAGAAATGAGTCAGCAGTTTTTCACTTTCGGTTCCGTTGCGTCTGGAAGTCAATGGGTGTTTTTGGTCAGATGCCTGAAACAAGCTTCAGAGATTTTAACGTTTTGTTGTACGACATAAGTACATATCCGTCTCGTGAATTTTGAAAATGTTGTGTGTCTCAAAAAAAAATGGTTGGTTGTGGCAAAATGAGACGACTAAACGTCGCCATTAGCTTAGTGGTGGTGACGTGAAGTCATGCATATTATCTTGCTGAATAAAATGTTTAAGTATCATAAACGTTTTTTTGTCTGCCACAGAGCAATAACTCAAAATCCAACGGTAATATCCCATTGGCTTTTTGACGATGTAACAAGTGCGATGTCATCCCTGCAACACATTTTGAAAGCGCAACGGCCAATGGTGTTACTCACTCTGACAATTGTGTAACTTTACCACTCACTCAGACTCGGGATAGACTTTCCCGTTTACAGGTTCTCAGACTTGACACAGCCACAGAGGACATCGTACAACTGTTTTCTAAGGCTGAGTGGTACTCCTTGTGATGAGTTAACTAACCTTTATGTGTACAATCGCAGCAGATAAACCCAACACTCAGGTAGCGAGTATACAGTGTTTGTCACACACTGATGAAATATCATTGTCCAGAGAGAGACACAATTGTTAAAAAGTTTTGATACAGACTTGACTTTCTTAAGAAGCAGCTGTGGCGTTTCGAAGGAACAGCAGGAGCCAAATATGTGTATTCTCAATTCTCATCTGTAATTTGAAAGATGTGTCTGTTAACGAGCGCCACATACAGTGATTTAATACTAAAGCACGAAGAATCAAACACCCAGCTGTGATCGAGTGAAAGTTTCTGTTGTTTACTAAATAATAAGCAGCAGCTAACTGTCATAGTAGAACCAAATAAATTGATGTCTGATTCCATGAAGAAACAATCAGATGAACATAATTGGACATTTTTATACAGCTACAAATTTAAAAACTACTACATGGTTGCTCTCTGCAGGAGAAAACAACCATTGATTATCAAGAACCTTTAATCATTTCCAAAAGTCCAAAGTACATTATTTTGTCAATTATTGCTTTGGAGAAAAATGAATAGAAGGTAATAATTCTCGCTCTATGTTTGCATGAACAAGCGGCTACCGCACGGCAGGCGACCATTAAAGGGCCGGACACCCTGGAGCGGCCATTTAGAATCACGTCAATGGAAGTCCAGGGGCAGGGTTTCCCACAGTGTTATTGTAGCGGAGGTTCACCGCCTGACCCTTCTGAATAAATACACACTGTGCTTTTATGAACGTAAACAGAGAGAAAAATGGCTCCATCGGTCCCTCTAAGGTGGGAATGTGTGAAGAGATGTGTCACCGCACAATCAGCACTGCAAGTCCAACACCGTGCAGCCAGAGTTTATAGAATCACTAGCTGGACAAGTGCTGCACCTAACAGAGTCAGCATTGAGGTGAAGTTAGTTTAAAGTCAGAGAGTGACCACTGACCAGTTGCACTTGTATTAATGTCAGAAAGATGTCTTGATTGCACAAATGTTTCTTTTCACAGCTTTACCTTTCCTTCAAAACATTCATGTCATAGTCTCCATTTATTTACACTATAGTCTCCTTTCTGAATGTTGAAGTTCATTCCATGGCATTAATCAAAAACAGATGTTTGGTGGTTAAAGAGTATCTGCACACTTAAACTTGTTTTTTACACTATGATGAAACACATCAATGCTGCATGGTGTTCATTTTGACCAAATTCATAAAAATCTGCATTTAATTTCATGGTTGAAAATGGCTCAAAACATCATCTACTGTTTTAAATCATCCCTAATCTTGCAAGATCTGAGAGTCAACCCTTTGGGTTTAATCTACCTCGTTAAATAAAAGAAAGTCCTCTAATCAGACTCATTCATCCGCTTTGACTCACCTTGCATGCAAAATTTAAGCTCTTTAGCGTCCGTGACGGTGCTGGCCGGCATCCTGTCGGGAACCTTTTTGCTCATGCGGTTGTAGTTCCTCCTCTTCTTCGTCTCGCCCCACAGGTTGGAGCCGCCGTGCATGCTGGGAATGTTGAGCACAGCGATGCCCTCTAAGGAGGTGTTGCTGAGGTCCATGATGATCCCGTCGCACTGAGGGGGAATCGAGAAACAGATTTTCCATTTAACTCTGCTTATCTTTGACTGACAAGGACAAAAACAAAAGTTTTCCCCCATCGAACGCAGACCGGCAACTGAAAGCGTAGCACCGACTCTGCTCGATAGACTCTCATACAATCGTTTCAGATTGTTCTTCATTTTCAGGCTGGTTTAGTGGATTTAGAACTATTCATGGTTAAACATTATATAATAGTAATGTAATAGCAATACTCGTTACCTGGAGAATGCTTCTAAAACCAGTGGAGCTAACATTAACAAAGTAAGGTTCTCACTCGCACACATGCACACACACACACTCGACACAATTACATTTTCTTTTGTTGTTTGTATTTATATTGTTATCATATTTCATACCTTGTAAAAACATCTTGTCAATAATATTTTACGTAGTCATATCTTATGCATATGCATTTACTGTATCATGGAGTAAGGTAGACATCCATGCTTGTACCCACTTTGTGCACCAGTGGCTTGTTTAAGACTGGCAGATTTATTTTGTGTTGATGCATTACCTGGACAGAAGCCAAGTGTGAAGCAGCAAAAACAGACAGCAATAAAATAGGCTGCCCCAATATCAATACAGATATTAAGTAACCCCCATTTGGCACTCTTGGTCTGACTCTGAGTTATATTGTGCCTCATCTGAATTCATCAAATTCATCAACACATTGCTGTGACTCAGCGTGGGTGGTTGATTTGTGCTGAGTCAAAGCAGCCACAAAAATGCTGGACTTCGCCATCAAATGAAGTTTGGTGAATTACGTAACACATACCAGTACCGCACCAGCTGGACAGCTCTGTGAAGTACACTGCAGTGGTCTGTACCCAGTCTGAATTAATAATACAATAAAAGAGACCATTTTATGTTGAGGCCATCATTATTCTGGGCCCCTCACATCATTTCGTTCTACTTTTACAAAGATATTTTTTCACATGCATTTATATACACTCAAACACATATGTATTTTCACTTTTGCATTTTGCCGCTAAAACAACTTTTCTTTTGTGTAATTTCCAGAAAAACCACAAAAAACAAGAAGATAGATAACATGACAGCTCCTAAAAAGTGAAGCCAAAACATTTCGATCGACCCCTGGTGGCTGGCTGCAGTACAGGTCATAAACCCCGCCCCCTCACGCATGGGACATGGGCCAAACTAAAAAAAAAATCTAAATTCAAGTCAATTAAGTTTTCCTCAAAGACGGTTATTGATATTTTATGTAGTTGTTATCACACCATATGTTCAACTGCTCATTGTCTCTTTTTGAGTAGCTATTTGATGCTATAAAAAGCGGGCGAGACGTCATGACTGACAGCTGTGATTGACAGCTGCTCTGAGTGAAGTGCTCGCGGAGTCGGAGGCTCAGGAATTGTACGAGGGAGTGGATGTAGCTTTCACTTTCCATAACCATCATGGAGTCTGTGTAAACAAATCTGTGTTCATTTGATCATGACAATGGTTAGTTTAGCCAAACACCTACTATGGTGCTAGCGTAGCAGCTAGGTGGCTCCCGCTAACAAACTGCTGCAGTGCTCGGCTCGTGATTGGTTCGGGCAGATGTGTGTGTGCGGGAACGCTACCGACAGAAATAGTATATAATATTCATATATCCATGTTCATAATCACCTGAAACTAAGAATCAGTAGAATGAGCCACTTATACAGAGCGGGTCCTCTTCACGGAGTCCGCCATGTTGCACCGGCGTTCGTTTCTACAGTAGCCCAGAACGGACGGAACAAACACTGGCTCTAGCGAGGGCCTTTTGCGGTTTCATGATCCCTGAAGGCCACCGTAGTTCTCCGGCATGCTTGTAGAGGTAGGGTTGAGCAGTAGGGGTGAATCTCACCACTAGATGGCACTTAATCCTACACACTGGTCCTTTAAAACTTAACTTAAGACATCTTGAATATTGTTTTCCAACAAGACATCCTTAAAATAAGTAATTTTCTTTGCCATTCTGTTGCTCGGTTAACAGCTTTGGTCCAAGTTTACTCCCTGCCAGCTACATCGCAACAGGAAATACAAAATACATTCTAAATGGTCACCAATTTCCAAACATGGTCACATTGGGTTCTTTAAAATGAATTAAACATACGGAAAACAGTTGGGCTTGAACCCTTTTAGACGGTAGCAGCTTGTTTGCATTTTCCCCCAATGGTTTCTGAAACTGCGTGTCTCGAGTCCTGCTGTGCTATAAGCACCCAGGTGACAGATTATGCGGCGCCGTATGACAGAATGAGGCAATCAGTGACTTTATGGAGCATTAATTTGACGGCGCGCTATGAATAGCCCGCCTCATTAATACGAGAAAATCACTTTGTTGTATATCTCTGCCCCACAAAAGAATAAACGCATCTTAAAGTCCGTCAGGGACAAAGGCAGAAAAGCTAATTTGTTGACGTGTAGTGTACACAAGATGTTTCATATTTTACAGTTTTGTTTTTAATCAAATACGATATATTGTTGGGATTTTTTATAGATATTTTTCCTAATTTCTGTCAGTTACACACAGACCACTCTTTGTCAGCACTCATCTGTTGTGCTTCAGAGATGACAGCTCTGATCTGACGGTGACTCACCTCCAATTCTATGCATTCGTTAAGTTTCTTGCAGGTGGCAGATATGGTCTCAGTGGTGCCGAACTCAAAGTACCACAGCTTGTTCTTCATTCTGAGGAGCAGAAAGGGGGAAAACAGAACACATGATTTTGACTAACACATTAAAAAATACATATTCCCAGTCTCAACTTGCACACTAGTACACTGTCGGGAGCCCGCAGCGCGATTTGTTTTGGGTTCACTGGGCACATATTGAAGCTGTCCGGTGCCTCGAGTCATGTCACATTTTGAATCCGACAGCTCAGGACTAGCTAGCGGCCGCGTGACCACAGAAGTCAAAGCTTCACCCGATGCACCCTGAAGCCTTAAAGTGGAGACGCTGGCCCCCCCCCCGGCAGCATCGATCCCTCGATACTGAAGCACAGAAAGTTAACCTCGCCATCTGTCAAACAGGGCGTTCTGCTTGTTGTCCTCTCTTTCATCATCGCTCGGTGCCCGGACGCCCAGAGTTGAAACGTCAACATTGCCTCTGGAGGGGACGCAGGGGTGAAACACTGCTGGTGGAGGCTGTACGATCAGGGTAAATATTATTGTGATTCACGACATAAAAGCAACCCACAGGACTGACTCGTGTCTGCCCTGCAGAGGACTTGTCAGAGGTGACCTGGTGGATGTGGTCCTGTTTGTATCCTGTTGTCATTTGTTGCAGTTTTTAGGGAACTGGACAGTGGCTGAATAACACAGTCAAGGAGGAATCTCTGCTTGACCTCCTCCCGAAGTAGACTTTCTGGCTCCTGACACTAATAGTGTCTAATAGTGACGCGGATGGGTTTACATTGAAGTTACCTGAACATCCGGTGCGTCTCATACAGACACTGAAGGGTCGGTACGTCTGTATCACAGATTGTGCTATCGTATGACCAAAGTCCTGAGCAAGATATTTGTGTTTCCAAAATCAAGAGAGACCACAAAGGTCCAACCTCAAGTCTACAAAAATGATTCCCTTTCATCTTTTTCTAAAGGTTGTGCTCAGGAACAAAAGAAACAAATGGCATATCTGATGTCTCACCCTGCATCACTCGACAAATGACACATCATTCCATAACAGGACAGTATAGCCTCATTGGCACGTGGACATGCTTGCTGATACTGACAACACTAGCTGTTGACACAACCGCTCAGTAATATGTGGGCATACCGGTGCCGAGGTGCCGCCTGGGCACCGAGAACAAGAGAACATTCAAACAGAACACAACTTAAAGAAGTCGTCGCACAGTTTGAAAGGTTAAAAATACTTTTTCCCCTCCTCATGCACACTAAAATAAAACAGGAGTTAAAACTCACAGTGAACTTAAACTGCCCAGCAGACTTCAAACAAAGCATGAAAAGAATTCACAACTGTTTATTTGACTTGAAACGTAACCTAAATGCCTTAAGCCGCTGTGCTTGTTCACATGTTTTTCTCCCTGCTAATTGTAATTCTGTCCCTTGTTCTCTCTCTTTCACCTTAATGCCTCCCCAGAAACCTCCGCCGCTGTCAAATCAGGGGATTATGAGCATATTTGAGATCACAATTAGGAACAGTTGCGATTCTCAATGAGGCGAGCTGCCTAACCTCATTAAGCCGCTTCCACTTGAGAGACAGTCTGTAAAAAAAAATGCAATTAACTCGTAGTTTTTCCCTCTCGTATGGACGGAGAGTGCAACAGGGAGACAGACTACTTCCATAAGCCTTCTCTCTATTATTCCCATGTTTATGCACCAAAACTGGTGAAATGCCGGAACAAAAAGGATGTTAAATTATCTTCAAAAGGGGGCGGGGGGGTATTTTTCCTATTATGACGATGTGTTTTTGTCCCATTTTTATTCTCCTGTTCAGTTTGCACAACGAACAAAGCACTTATTCATTCTATTCATCTTTAATGAATACAGTCGGTTTTTAAAGATAACTTTCAAACTGTAACATTTTAAAGAGAATTCACAGACCTGTTGGAATCACAGTGAGAGAGAGTACAGATTGGCTTTAAGGGGGAACCGTGATGTTATGAAAACACTGTTCTGCAAAGCTCGGGGGCTCCAAAACTCTGTCGACTGTATCCAGTTATCTCTCGCCCCATTGTGCCCCATGCTGCCCCTCCCTGCAGATAAGCATCTACTTTAATCCCCAATGTGAGCACTGACCTTATGACCCAGCCATCTCTTTCCTCCCCCCATCTCCCCCCTCTCCCTCTCTCTCTCTCTCTCTCTCTCTCTCTCTCTCTCTCTCTCTCTCACACGTCTTGCATTGTCGTTATAGAGTGTGAGTTGTGACATGTGATACAACCTCCCTCACCACCACCACCACTGAGAGGCAAAGCAGAACCTCTATGGATGATCTGATGGTGAAGCTCCACAGACTGGTCTCACCCATAATGAGCCTTAATCACAGACTGTATATAAGAAGTGGATGTAGTCATCGTGACGTCTCCCACTGGTTTGTGGACTGCTGTTATGAAGCCTCAAGTTCGGATATTTTGCTGTCATAATCTTGTTTTTTCGTAACCAATGAACAGAAGTTATCATAATTGGAATGCAGAGGAGTGACGTAGAGACGCTGTATACGTCGCTGGTAGAGACCTGTCAATCACAGTAAGCCCGCCCTAAAGCATCCCCTGCTTTATGGTCTGTTTGACTCTAAATGGACCATAATGTACTAAATGAACATCATGCTGTATTGATGAAGACTTGAAACTAGAGATTGAGACCATAAACTCATGTTTACAATGTTTACTGAGGTAATAAATCAAGAGAGAAGTAGAGTCATTTTCTCATAGACTTCTATACAACCAGAGGAGTCGCCCCCTGGTGGACAGTAGAGAGAAGGCAAGTTTTAAGACACTTTAAGAGTCAGCCGATGTCATTGAACGTCATTAAAATTATTTTAGTTGTGTTGGTCATCATTTCCACTACATTTTCAGGTCACACTACAAACTGACATCACTCAATCATCACATCCTCTTTAACCATCAAGGTGAAGGAAAAGTGGTTAGGAAACAACATAGGATGTAATTAGTTTGACTACTCGACTGCAGCCTTGGCCAGAAGAAACTAAAGATTACACTTTGGAGAAAGATTCTGGGGGCAGTTTTTCATTTCCAACTGCAAGATACTTTGTATCTGCCAAAGCTCCGATTCATGCCTTTGACCAGCTTTTTCTCCATTCAATGTTTTTTATCAAATATATGAAATATTGATATGTAGAGCCCCATCTATGCCTTTACTGTAGATGGTGTCTATTTTCAGGATGTATCTTTAGATACAACGTGCCTAATGTAAGAACAATTTCACGTTAACACAATCTTACTGTTTTTAGTGCGGGTGAGCCACATCAGATTCAGCAAACTAAATGAGCGCACATTCGTGAGAGTTGTAAATTAGTATAATTAACACCCCAATAAAACCATTTAAGGCTACGTGTCCCGCCCCATAAGTCCTATGTTGAAGTCCGGCCTTCAGAGATCCATAAAGGAAAGTCTGTCATTTGTGTTGTATCAGCCGCAATCAAGGGACCTGCTAAAACCAAAGAACGGGTAAAAAATAAATGGTGCTGTTAATGACGTGTCACCTGAGGGTCTTACCGTCACTGAAATAAAGAAGAAATGGTTCCATGTAAAAAACGTCTCGCCGCAGCAAGGCCATCGGTGTGGTTATTTTAACCCAAATGACCATCTTTTCCTGAACTTAACTTCGTAGCTTTGGTGCCTAAGTTTCCTGTGAAGACGGAAGCTTATTTTGTTAAGACCGTATGCGTGTAACAAGTGTAAATTGACACGTGTTGCTGGTGTGTAAGTGTAGATTTGAAGACAAAACCAGTAGAGAAACATGGATTTCTAAAATGATTCCTTTTCTCTCCTTTACCAACACTTCCAAAATCCAGTTCTTGTTCTCTTCCTCACTTAGGACGATGCACGCACGCACGCGCACACACACACACACACACACACACAGCATTGTCCCCAGTGTGAGAAGTCATTAGCACCTGGGCTTTGGGCTCCTGGAGGTCTGGCTACTGTGACCACTAGATGCTGGTGGGTTGAGGTGTCAGGAGTCGCACATCCCCTCTGTCCCAACAGGCCCGGGATGGGGAGGGTGACACTGAGGGGGTGGGTATGTGCTAGTCGACAAGCGGGGGAGTGTGTTAGAGGCACACACACACACACACACATCACACATGCAGACGGAGTGTGAGTGGCAGGGAGGACAATAAAGCAGTGAGCTAAGTGCTACACGTGGCTACGGGCCTCTCTCACCAGGTCAAAGGTGATTTATCATCTGCTGCACCCGTGGAGTGAGAGAACTGCTTGTTCTCCACACTGAATCCTTTCAATTGAAATAGCTGTAAAGAAAGGACGGATACCCACTCTGCCAAAACATCAGTCAGACAACAACAGAACAGTTGTGGTTGTCCGTCAGCTGTTTGTCACTCTGTAGAAGTACCAGAGAGGAGAACAAAACAACAACCTGCAGTGTTGGCCAACTGTAGATAGTGTAGATTAAACTGTTGGTGTTATTTTGGATTGGAGCCATGAGGAGCTCCACGCAGCGATGCAGCAGAATAGAAATAGACTGAAGCATGAAAAAGCAACAGTGAAGCACAGGGAAGAAAGAGCTCTGTAGCTCGCTGGGTTTTACCTCTTGAGTTTGTGTAAGCTGAATATGTCTCTCCATATAAAGAGGGAGCGAGGGAGAGAGAGGGAGAGAGAGAGTCCTGAGAGACGAGCGGTATCGTTCTTTTATCTTATATTACCCTCTCTTCCTTCTGCCTGTGGTGATGGAACATACAGTACATGGGGCTCAGGATGGGTGGATGGACGGCATTAATTATTGAATTTCGAAGAGTCTTTTCCTCTCTCTCACCCTCCCTCCTCTTCTCCTCTTCCTTTTTTTAATACAGTATGTAGAGTAATTAACGGTGGAGGGAAGCAGTCAAGTTGTTGTCATCGTGCAAACAACATGAAACACCAGCTAATCATACAAAGAGCTGCACAGAGACTCAGTTCCCCAGTGAATCAGTGGCATTCAAAACATGCTTTTATACTTCACAGAGAAGCGCAATGCAGAAGAAGTACACATTTTGTTCGGTTTTTTGGTCACTTTTAATTGTGATGTCAAACCTTCAGAGCCCTCAGTGATTTGTGCAGCTCATGTGTACTTAAGCATGAACGCAAACAGTGGACGGCTTTGCATAGAGGTCGAGACCTGAGAGGATTATTCTCACACACACACACGCGCACGCACACACACATACACACACACCAAATGTTGGTTAACACACACACCTCAGCCTTGAGCTGCGGCAAAGACAACAAGCAGCAACGTACACTCATCAGCAGTGATTGGCCTCAGGGCTACAGTGTCTGTTTACAGAGGCCGTGTGCACACTGCTGCTGTTTGTTCTCTGCTGTGCATCTGAATGAGTCGTCAGAGAGACGTGTGGCCACAGCAAAGGCTGCTGGAAATGAAAGCGTCAAACATCAAATGGTGGTGTTTCCCCCACAACTTCGGATATTTGTGGGCGGTATTGGCTTTGGGGCTGAGGGTTGTTTGCTTTAACAGACATGGCCGGCGATATGCTTTATTTTTCATGTTGTCAACAAATCTAATGAAAAAGGCCCAAACTAACAATTGTTAGCTTGTCTGTCAATAGTTCCCTGAAGACAAAAAGGGTTCAGAAAGGAACTATGAGCACTGACCATGTTGATCTTTATGAAGGAAAATGTCAGGCAGTGCACCAGGGTGGCTCATTAATGTGTTTCATATGTTTCTAGCATAGACTGTATATAAGATGTGGACGTAGTCACCGCGACCACTTGTTTGTGGTGTGTTTTAAAAGCCTTGAGTTCAGCATTTTAGCCGTCGCCATCCTTTCTCTTTTTTTGCAAACAGAAGTGTCATGAGAGGGAGGAGCTAAGTACAACACGGACGACTCCCTGACCGGACAACACCGTGGTAGCGACCTGTCAATCACAAGGTTTATCTATTTGACTCTAAATGGACCATAATGTACTGAATGAACATCATGCTGTATTGAAGAAGACTTGAAACTAGAGATTGAGACCATAAACTCATGTTTACAATGTTTACTGAGGTAATAAATCAAGAGAGAAGTAGAGTCATTTTCTCATAGACTTCTATACAACCAGAGGAGTCGCCCCCTGGTGGTCACTAGAGAGAATGCAGCTTTAAGACACTTCAGCATTGGCTTCACATTTCAGAACCGGAGGTTGCGTCATGGCTCTAGTAATGTCTGTTGATTGGTCGACTACTTTGGTCCAGACTGAAATCTTTGGGTGCGAAGACAATTTGTCCAGACATTCATGGTGCCCTGTGTGTATACCACCACCCACTGGTAGGAGTATGTTTAGATTCCCCCCGTCTCGTGATGGGCCAAGTTTTAGGTGTCTAAAGGGGGCAATTTTGTTCACCAGGTGTGCAATTATTTCTGTTGTCATCCTCAAATTTAAGACCAGCTTTGGCTGCTAGCATGGCTGTAGAGTCTCATTCTTGTTCAACAAGGGTGGAGATCTATGGCGCAGAAGGATGGAGGAATAAGCAGGCTTGGATACACAGACATTACTCTTTATATCAGATTTGTTGACAATAAGAAGATTATAGACGATCACTAATCTTATCCTTTACTCATATACTGTATATATAATATATGTTTGGGATATCTGCCCCAAGCCTCTGGGTGTTTTTCGATACGATAGGAGTGGCACAGTTAATGGAGTATTCCACTGATTTTGCGCCAGAAGATCAGTTTACTCGTCACGGAGAGTAAAACTCATGTATGCTGTGGGCCCCTGATGATGTTATTATAGAAATTATCTCAGATTATATTTGCGACGTCAAACTTATAACAGAAAGCCGTTTTTTAACTGGCAAATGACGGCAGCGATGTTATTGATTTCCATGCCTGAAAAGGTCTCTTGCTGATGTGACGAGGTTGAATTTAATATTCCGGTCGTCACCGCCGAGGTATTTCTTCTCATCTGACTCTGGATCGCTGTTACTCTCTCTCCTGAACTCTCTCACTGTCTCGTCAGACCGAGGCGGCTTCCAGTGTTATGTAACAATTAATTAGACATCTACACACTCGTCTGCCATTTGAAGATACCTTCTCTGCTCTGTGAATGACGTGAATCTCCATCTACGTCATTAATATCTTCACCAACCTCTATTCAGCCCACAATGATTACCTCATTTGACATTTCGAGCATTATCTGAGAACCTCACCTGAAGCAACAAACAAAAAAACAACAAATAATTGCCATTCCAAACGTTTCTCTCTGGATTTTGGAAACTAAGGCTCCGGCCCAGTTTGACTTCACACCCTCCCACGTCACGGCTAAGTGCAGTGTACTGCCAATATATTGATTCTACTACGCAGGCGGGTTTTGTTCCGTTATTGATTTATAACGATTGCAGCTCAGTGTGATATGGGGTTTATATATTAAAGGTTACCAGTTGATTATGAGATTGCTCGTTAGCTAATGATGTTAAGACGTTGGAGCGGGGAAGGTTTTTACCCCCGATGTGAAATACGAGGATCCGCCTCATCGACTGCTCAGTGCATTTCACTCCTCTCATTCCTCTCACCTGCTGTTGAACTTCTCAGGGTGCTTTTCTCGCATCAGATGAAAGCGATGGGCGATGGAGGCATCCTGCAGGAGAAGACAACATTACCTACAGGACATCTGTAAAAACCTACACATTATCACAGCTTGCTAAAAGGGAAATGTAAAAATATGTTACATTCCAGTTCTGCCATCTCTTCCTTTTAGAAAGTTCTAACTTCTTACATCACAAAACAAGACATTCATCTATATTTGTTAAGTAAATTTAAGGAGGATTATGGTGTTTGTCTCAAAGCCATTCTATATTCTCGTCATCAGTGTGGCTGCAAGGGTACGCCTGCCTTAGGTCATGTTCACACCGGCCTTATTTAGTGCAATTGATCCGAAACCCGCGAGCGTTCGCCCCCTTGGTGCGGTTCGTTTGGGCTGGTCTGTTTTCTGGTCCGCCGATAAATGGTGGTCGTGGACCGCTTTGCTAAGCTTGGTGTAGTTATCTGGTTTCTGCAACACTACCACTGAACCAAACTCTTGGTGATGTACTGGAGTAATTCAGTCTGAAGTTGTATGACTTATATTTGAAGAGAACTCTGACTTACGGCACAAAGCAGCGTTGAGCGAAAGGTCACAAGTTAATTGGATCTGGCCTCAGGCTGGACCCAGCCCTCCTCTCCCCATGTGTTTAACCCCTGACCTCTGGGGCAGAGGTGGATGTAACCCTGATCACTCACAAGAGCAGCCTCGGTACGACCTCACTTACAGACAAACACAAACACCACCGGGGAATCACGCTGTCACAACAGCATTATCGATGCTCTAGATCGTTAACCATGCAAGGACTTTTGTTATATCATTTTTCATTCAGAACAGAGATGATTGACAAGAGCCTCAAATAAGGTTCAAGAGGTTTCACCATTTAGATTTAAAGCTCCTTTCAGACAGGCACCTCGTTACATAAATGTGTTGTCAATTTTACAACACCTCCAATAGAGGGCTGCAGGGGTGTCGTGTTTTTGTAGGCCAAGCTGGAGGTTGGCATCGCACCGGTTCCCTCGACAAAAAGCCAATTGGATTTTTTCATTGGATTTTGGAATATTGCAGAAATTGTGCTCTGGGGCAATCAAATGTTTATGATACCTAAACACACTTTGTTCAACAAGATAATCTTCACATATGAAAACCACTTTTCTGATTTTTGAAGCGTGAATGCAAGTGTTTGGCACGATGACGTTTAGTAGTCTCATTTAGCTACTTGTTAGCAAGCGCTTCTTTTAGGACGTGTATTTTATGATGTATTTTATGTCCTAGAACAAAACATTACAATCTCCAAAGTTGGTGTTATCTATCAAAAACCCATTAAAAAAAACCATCGACTTTGCAACGAGAGAACCAGAAGTGCAAAAATAACGACTCATTTTAGGTGTTAGGATTCATTCTTGCAGCACTCTATACATCTCGAATGTATGCCGTTCTATTAACATAAAGACTACGGCAGCACAAGAGAATCCTCATGCGAAACGCTTCACAGCATGTAGGCAAACAGAAACACACACAACACACAGCGCTGCTCTGGACACTTCAGCTTTCAGTGGATGTGATCAATTAAAAAGAGCGGCCTTAATTTGACTGCACGCTGAGTTTGACCAGAGCTGCTGCTTCTCCACTCGGGGCCTGAGGATGTGATCTGTCTTTCCCAGATAAACAGCCACTGTATATATATAATAAATTCAAGATGCATGCGCTCATAGATTACATCGATTATATGTCAGAGGAAGCAATATAGCTAACGTAGACGTATATGTGGCTCATGTTATGGAGACGATGCACCGGAGCTCGGTGGATGGAGAGTGTCACGCTGATGGTGGAGTCAGTAATGATGTTAACGTATGAAGACAGAGTTGAGGACTGTGTAATGACACCATCTGGTTCTGCTTAAAGTGCTTAACAGAGACAAGACACATGACACAACCCGACTTACTGCCACCAGTTCAAGACGATAGACACATGACTATAAAATACCAACAAAAAAATGAATTAACTGCTATAATTTAAAACTTAATATATATATATATATAACTGGAAGCTACAATCACAGCGAAAATCGATTTACTGTATTACATGTGGAGACGACCATGTTGAAGGAGTCTTCATCTGATACAGAAAGTTCAATAACTCAGATCGGGGGGATAAATTAGCCTTTATGCAACTAAACTAATTGGGCCTCAATCAAGTAATGTAATCTTCATTTTTCATGCATCTTATCGAGATGTGTTGTGTTCATTGTTATTTTAATATGGTAGCTGATATGATGTTTTGCACAGCACGCAGAATATCAGTGGCTCATCCACTAAGGGTATCATTTTGTAATTTTCTTCTTATTCAGTTACAACACTTAGATAGGCAGAGAGGAAAATGGTGACTGTGCAAAGGGAAATTGGAGGCTTTATAATTAGAGATAAATTAGAGATAAATAAGTACGGTTCAAACTTTACTTTGAACAGCCGTGGTGACTCTTAAACCAGCTATTCTACACCAATGGGCCCTGGGTGACTAGATGGCCTCTGAGGCCCAACAGGTTGCCCACCGCCAAATGGTTAAAACATAAAAAATGCTTGATAATATACAAAGCTACAAAGACCAGTAACGCTTGTCAATCAGGTGGAAACACTTCCTCGGATGCAGTGACACAAAATAGTCTCAAAACGTCAATAAATGCAAATGACACAAACATAATTACATAACAGGAAAAATGAGCAAGCTGCTGTCTAGGAGGCAACAAGTGTTTCATTTCTTACGGTTCTGCTTCCTGGAAGTGTGTGAAACCTTTGCTTTATTTCATTTCACGGTAAAACAGGTAATGTATCTGTTAAACACACATTTTTTTGTGATTTGGGTGCATATTTACACCATAGTCTGGCATCGGGCAACTCTGACAGGCGAAGGCATGTGTGATGGCGTTCTGGCACCTCGTCTGCCTGTGCAGGTGTTCCAACGCAACAAGGAGAACGGATGGTTGTGACAAGACAGGTGGGACAGGGGCAATTATACACATCCGCTACTTGTCAACCTCAAAACCATCCACCGGTGCCATCGGCCCGCCGCGACGCACCTCCTCCACCAGACGCTACGGCGATGTGCCGAGATCTCACAGCATCAGCTAATGTAGCCGACCTTAAAATAGAGCTGCATCTGCCGCTTTAACTGGCGGAGAATTTGATACTGGAACCAGGGCAGTGAGGAGACATCACAGGTGAACTACTTTTCCAGACCCACGAGAGACCAGAACATTGTTGCAGAGCTCAAACTGAAAAAGCTGATTCTCCACAAGCACGCATGAAAGAAGAAAAAAGTTGGTCATAATTTGCCGTAGGAGTCTTTTTTCGAACAGAGCCGGTTATTATTTTTTCACTGATTTTTGTAAAATGTGGCCAGCGAGTCCAGCACAGCGTGGGGATCGGGCTCAAACAATGACACAAAAAGGCAGCAACAGCTTTCCAAAACATGTCGGCTGTTTCATGTTTCCCTGCTGCAGGCAATCACTGACCGGTCCCCAAATTTTAGTGCATTCTGCCCCCCCCCGAAAAATCCGTCTGTAACAAAATGTGACATTTGCCGTCGCCTATAGTTGCCTGTGTGATGAAGGTTGTTTTGATCTTGCCGTTTGAAGTTTTGCACACGGTGCGTGGGGGCAAGAGGAGGTGCTATTGGACGGGTGATGTGAAAAAAAGTAGGAAGGGGAAATCAACAAAAAACAACAACAGTAAAAAAAAAAATGCTGGCTGGAAAATGTCACCTCAGTGGGACCCACGGCAGAGAAATAGGGCGTCAGTCCACCCCTATTGTGTTTCACTGGCCTCTGGTAAAGGGGCTTGGTTAGCTTAATGTCAAAGAGAAATGTCACAGTCAGCCTCTAATCTCCCGTATCCCATGATTCTCTTATACTGGGAAGTGCAGGTTAGCGGAGCAAGATAAACATACACTGTCTATGATTTAAGAGCTCTTAATTTGTTTTTCTATTCCAAAAGAAAGTATAATCCTACTATTAGTATGGAAGCCCATTCCTGCCAAAAAAAGAAAGTCAAATATATTAAAAGTTGCATGATAAAAATACTAATATGTTATAATCAACTTATATGATACTAAACCAAACCTTTGACTTGCTGTCTCATACATTTAAGTTAAGTTATTTCACTTTTCTTATAAATTTGAATTTATTCATATTTATTATGAATATATTTTCAGCGTTTTGTCTTTTTGTGGTAGAAATGGGCTTCCATAAAATATTGTTATTGCTTTTAGTAAAAAATGTAACTGCTCTTGTATTTTTCTTTTGAATAAATTAACAGCATTTTTATTTTATTCAAGTATTTGTCTACTCTACCCAACCTTGTTGATGTTGTCAAAACAGAAGGTAAATGGGGCCGACAGGAGCAACTTAGCTTGTTTATTTTAAATGTTAAGCCTGTGTTAAGAAATGCATAAATGGGTGAAGATGGAGTATCTTAAAAGGGTATTCTGTGGAGTGAGATGGAGCAAGGTTGGATCTATATGGTTACTCAGTAGTTGTGAAAATTTGCAAAAACTCTGGTGAGACGTATCCTAACCGTAGCCATATCGCGAGAGTTTCACAATTTATGGATTACCTACTAGACGCCACCATTGAGCAGAGGCGATGCATGTTTAGGTTGCATTTGCATTTGCGGTACGTCCGTTACCAAACTACTTGCACACACTTACGTATGTCATCACTGTTTACATTTATAAATAGGCTCTATAGAGACATACTTATGGTCTGAAGCCGAGTTTTCAGGAGCTTTAAAGACCAGTCCAGGTGTTTGTGAATGTGTTTGTGTGTGCGGACGTGTTTCACCATGTGTGTGTGTGTGTGTGTGTGTGTGTGTGTGTTTGAGCGCCGTTCCTCCCGTCTTTAAGACCAGCCAGGTGTCACTCAGCACGGTCATTCATTACCGCGGTAACCTGGCCTGAACCTGGCAGGCGCTCACTTCCTGTCACTGATACTTCCACTGACCTTCAGTCTGTGCCAGCGCTACTCCGTCTCTCTCCCTCACACACACACACACACACACAGA